CTGCTCCCTCTCTCCAGGTTCCCAGGAATCCATTCTTGGCAATGGAAACCCCAACACTTGGGCTTCCTGCTAAATTCTCTTCCTGTGAAATACCACCATTCCCCCATACTTCCCCCCACGCTCTCCATTGTAGTCTATATATGAGAGGGCTCTCTCTTTGGACCTCTTGAATTATCTATATCCATCTTAACCCAAGCATCAGAACACTTAGGATTTGGGAGATGGATGGGGTTGGGGGGATTGGTGATCAGTGAAAGGGGTGGTTTTTCTACTTCTTACCTGACAGAGTGAATGCTGAACTGCAGATTTACAGGTGCATAAATAGTCATTCTTGGCCCATTAGTTTATAACCTATATTAACTAACAGCATCATGCACATCACTGGATTGTATTAAAGAACATGATAAGGGACATTTGAGAATTTCTCCCAAGCTCCCATCAACTACTTTCTCCTCACCCTCTCTTTGACATGAGGAAACAAACCATTCACACTTTCACTGCTCATCCCCACACCCTTTCACCAAGATTTCAAACAAAGGAATAAGAGGGCATGCTTTCAGACAAGCAGATAAGAGAATCAAAGGTCACTGGCAATTCTTATGCATGCCTCTCCACAAGCAGAGAGGGAAAGCAGAATGAATACTTGAAGCAATTCTGTCTTTTTCAAAGCTAAAGAGAGGTCTAGATCTTGAGGGTAAATTCACTTCAGTTCCTTCCTCTCTTCTCTTGTCTTGCTCCTGGACTTTCTTCTAAATTAGTGTTTCTCAAACTTCAATGTGCATAGGAACCATCTGGAAATCTTGTTAAAATGCAGATTATGATTCTGTAGGTCTGGGGCGGGGCATGAGACTCTGACTTTGCAATAAGATTCCAGGTGATGTCATTTCTGCTGGTCCACAGACCACACTTGGAACAGAGGATCTAAATTCTCTTGTACAATACTCTGAAGCCTGTGTAACACAATCTACAGTAGCATGAAGTAGTCCCTACACAGTAAGCACAATAGTCCATTGAACACAGGTGTAGCATTAACTATTCCTTCTTTCACTAATGCTACGATCTCAGATGGTCATCTCAGGCCTGGTCCCTAAGGCAGCATCACACAGGGTTTCCCATGTGGCCATCCATCCTTTGATTTCTTGTAGGCCTAGAGAAGATGTGGGTATTACAAGGGGTAAAGAAGTTAAAAATGAAAAAGTAATGAAAAAAAAAAAAGCAACAGATGGTGAAGGATTAACTATCCAAGTCCTAAAAATGTAATTCTACTGGGAAGTTACACCAAAAAAGTAAAACATGGAAATATCAAGGTTAAGGGAACTGAAGCTACTGGACTTTTCCAATGGGGAATAAGGACGTTGGAAAGTTGGGGAGAGGTGGTCTCGGCTATAATAACTGCATGGGTGGGAGAAGCATTTTCCTTTGGCAAAGATCTCCTGGTCAGCTTGTATCAAAACCTCTTTGTCCCCTCCTCCACTAGAAAGAAACTGAGAACTCTGCGGGGGGGGAAAAAAAAAAAAGACAAGAGCCATATGGAATTCTCTATTTTTTCTCTCACACCATCTGGTTTGGAATCTAAGTACAGAATGGCAACTGCTTTAATTTAGAAGCCAACAAAATCTCCAAGCAACTGGGAAGGAGACAACATGGCTGGGTTCAGTCCCCTCACTCTCCTACATGCAAGGTCTCTGTGGCTGGCTCTAGACACAAATGGTTCTGATTTCAGTCACTGCACAGAAAAAGTTAGAATTACACATAGAGATCATTTCAGGATCTTGGAAGATGATTCAGTAAAACAAGTTCAGTGATTTAAAAAAAAATTAAATATTTTTCTTTATTGATTAGAGAGAAAGGAAGGGAGAGGGAGATAGAAACGTCGATGAGAGAGAACATCGATTGGCTGCCTCCTGCATGCCCCCCACTGGGGATGGGCCCCAGAACCTGGGCGTGTGCCCTGACCAGGAATTGAATCAGTGACCTCTTTGTGCATGGGTCGACACTCAACCACTGGGCTACACCAGCCGGGCAAGTTCAGTGATTTTGTTTCTCCCCGTCAGACCTGCTTGTTCATGGAATTCTCACATGAAATATCACCAGCAACCAGATACTATTAGAGTTCTACAGTTTCTCGTCATACCATTCCAGAAGTCTAAAAACTCTAAAACCTAAGGATTATTTATTTATTTATTTATTTATTTATTTATTTATTTATTTATTTATTGGTATAGGTCATCTGGCAACAAAACCTATCCTGATCTAAACTTATTTGATGCCCAAACCCGATTTGAATGGAAAAGAGGCTGTTTCCAGGCTTCCTTTACCCAACATAGGCTCCTCACAAAGATTAATGTGTTCCATTTGTGGGAGCACCCAGACCTTGCTGGTGATGTCATGTAGCTCACAATGTATGTGCCATGTTACTTTTCAAAAACCCAAACTCTTCTGAACTCTGGAATAAATCTCAAAGGTTTCAGAAAAGAAATTGGAGTCTCGTGTTTTTCTCCTCAGCTGCTATGATGCTTAGAATGTCCGTATTTTGGTGTTTGGTTATAGGATCAAAAGCACGTCTTTTTCCAATGCTCTGACAGGGAACTGCTCAACTAGTGGACAAAATTCATAAAGAGCAATTGCTAGAGGGCTTTCCTCTAATAAGATATTGATGTTTACTCTTCACCACACAATGCAAGGACGATTTAAAATTTTTTTTTATCTTGGTTTCCAATTGGCCTGATGTCTTACAACACATTCTTTTTTAAAGTTTATTTTTTATTTATTTTTTATCCTCACCCGAGGACATTTTCCCATTTTTTGTTCAGATAGAGTGGGAGGGAGAGAGAGAAACATCGATGTGAAAGGGACACATCAAGTGGCTGCCACCCGCACTACCCAACCAGGGCCGGGGACAAACTGCAACCGAGGTATGTGGCCTTAGCGGGAACCGAAACCGGGCCTCTCCAGTCCAGCGGGTCGTCGCTCTAACTGCTGAGCCAAACCAGCCAGGGCACATTCTTTTTTGTTAAATCCTTACCTAATGATATTTTTCCATTGATTTTTAGATAGAAAGGAGGGGAGGGAGGGAGGGAAGGAGGGAGGGAGAGAGGGAGGGAGGGAGGGAGAGAGAGAGAGAGAGAGAGAGAGAGAGAGACATCAATGTGAGAGAGACACATCAATTGGTTGCTTCCCTCACAACCAGGACTGGGGCTGGAGACTGAGTCTGCAACCCAGGTACGTGCCCTTGACTAGGAATCAAACCCACAACCCTTCTTCTACTTGCTGAGCCAAACCAGCCAGGGTCCAGCACGTTCATAAAATGAAGATTCTTTTCTCTAAAGTAATTTCTGATAACTTAGGGACCTTCTTGTTCCATTAATAAATTTTCTAGTCTCATTCTGTGCTACTGAAATGTGCGCATCTAATGGTGCTTTTTGGGGGGGGGGGGGTTAAAAAGCAGCTTTAACGAGATATAGCTTACAGATAAAATTCACCTGTTTTAAGTGTACAATTCAATGGTTTTGGGTAAATTTACAGAGTTGTGTAACCATCACCACAATCTAATTTTAAAACATTTCCATCACTCCAAAAAATATCCCTTGGACCCCTTAGCAGTCCAGTTACTCCCCTCCCCCAGCCTCTGGCAAACACTTTGTATCTCTATGGATTTGTGAATTCTAGAAACTTCATATAAATCAAATCATACAATAGTTGGTTTCTTGTGACAGACTTCTTTCACTCAGCATCAAGTTTTTGAGATCCATCCATGTTGTAGTATGTGTCAGTAATTCATTCCTTTCAATTGCATGGATATATCATGTCTAATGGCAACTTTTTAAAAAACCAAGATTTCAGAACCCTCCATTCTTTAAAGGACCTATAAGAACAAATATGTGATGTCCCTTCTTGCTCACCTTTTCTAGCCAGCACTGCTCAGGCACACAAGGTGTGGAATGAAATCCAAAGTCAGACTTCATGTTAATTAACCTAAAGCTACAATTTAGGTTTTAAAATAAAAATAAACCATTTTATTAAAATAATTACAGGTGTTATGACTTTATAATTCAATAGGTGTGTTACATTGTACCTCAGGATTGTTTCTTCTAGAGTTGTAGATTCTACACTGTCATTTCTGAGGTATTCCTGAGAAAGTAAGAAACTGTTTAAGAAAACTGATTATTTGGGTTCATGCAAAATTTCAAAACTATTATGTTTATTTGACCTGCCATAATCCCTTTATAGTCACATTTTATGTAACTTAAGATCACTGAATTTTAGCTCACTGAGCTGAGTTTTAAGACTTGTGTAGACTTTGGGAATGTGGTGGATGTTCATATTACTTAGCATTCTCCCCCTTCTGAGTTCCCCAATCAACTGACACACATTTCACCCAGGTCCAGCACCTAGCAGTTCTGAGAGACCAGTGTTCCTCATGGGCAAGGAAACCAGAAACTGGACCCAACAGACCTACCTGATGGAATTGGGTAGTTATCCAATCCCCATTTCATGAACTTTGACTTTCCCATCTCAAAGGCAATGATTGATGTTAAATCAGAGTAGTGCACAGCAGTGGAGCCAGCAAGAAATTTGGGGACTCTCACAGTACTCTTGGAGCCAAGACTCCTTGAGTGTCCTGGCCTAGTTCTTGATCCCAATGTGGACATGGGTGATATCTCCCCCACCATTATCAGTTCAAACACTGGAAATTCTGTGGTTAACCCAAAAGGGTAGCTCATTGTATACTACTCCCTTTGAGAAGAAGAGGTGAGGGTGAGGAAAGGGAGAGGAGGGAGAAGAAAGAGGCGAAAGATGGGGTGGAATGGACAGAAGAAGAGAAAAAGAAAGATGATTAAAAAAATTTTAAAGGGCCAAGTCCACCCATGCTCCTGTGAACAAATTAATGAATGCATCAAGCAAAACATAAAATATCACCAATTTGAAAGAACCATTACAAATAATATTAACGATAACAGTTGACTTGCTATTAGAATTCACCCCAAGGCTGTATTTACCTGGACTGCTCAAGGGGCTAGCCCTGTCCCCCAGGGTTGGCACGGGATGGTACTGGCGGTTCTTTGAGCCTGGGTACATCCAGTGGTACCTGCCAATTTCCATTTCAGCTCTGCTGTTCACTGCCAATTTCAGGTGGCAAAGAGTCAGTGTCTCTATCTCCAGCAAAGATTCTATATCAGCATTTTTAGTTATTCTTTTACCATATTGTTCAAGGAAAGGGGGAGTTTAAAAATACGCCATTGGAATGCAATCTTTCAGTACCATGTTATCAACTCAGCATGATAAATTGAGAATGTTGAAATCTGCTCCTCTGTTTTTCAATTTAAATTTACAAAAATCACCAAAATTGTCTTTTCTTTCCTTATTTTATCCATCTCTCCCACCCCTACCCCTTAGAGTGTTCATTTTGGGCAGACACTCTTTACAGTAAAAAATCTGGCTTTTTATAATAATATTTTCTTTGTTTATTTCTCTTATAGAACCACAGAGTGCCATAATTACTGCAGTTGCACAAGCAAAGGTGACTACAGTCTCACTTTCCATAATGGTACCCAGTCCCAGCCTTGAAAATCTGGCAAAGAACCCAATGGTCTGTTGAATCTTGGGTGAAACTCCTGTCCTCCTATTGACAGCCGCAATATTCTCTGTCACCTCATCCTGAACTCAGTACTTTCGAGCCTAGAGTGTTCTAGATGAAACTCCGACTCAATGATCTCCCAGTGTTTTATAGACCATGGGCTGCTGGGCTTGGACCACTGTTTATTCACACACAAGGTAACAATGTGTCTCCTGGGGACTCAGGTAATATAACTATTTGATAATATAACTATATTTTCTACTTCTTAGGTGACTGGAGAGAAAGACCTCTCCTAATTTGGCTGACACAGAGCAGGCTGTTGGTAACTATTAGCTAAATTACAGTCTTGAAATCCTTATGAAACCATAAGGTCAGTATGCCAGTTTATGTTTGTGAATCCCATAAAACCTAATAAGGGGTTATGTCCTCTGGGGTGCCACAAATATTTCAGGATAAAAAATAGGATTCTAGCACTGACATAAAAATTATTCCATCAGAATGTCAGGTTATAATGCTCCATTTGGCACCTAAGAATATTAAAGATAAGGACCAAGGAAACAACTACATTGTGAGGCAACACAGAAAATGCCCTAACCAGGTACACTTCAAAGCTCACAAAGGCTTCATGAAATCCCAACTGCACTCCCTACAATCTCTGAAAACCCTCAAGGGATTTCTGATTGGGTAGTGGACATATACTTTTCTAGGTGATGTTTTAGAGAAAGCTTTTTTTTTTTGGGGGGGGGGAGCTTCAAGTTAAAGTAAAATGTCTTTTAAAGGCTTTTAAAGACATTGAAAAGGAAAAAAAAAAGATGCTAGGACAACCAGAAATGCACATTGAAAGTGTTTGACTGTTTTTGTTGTCCATGATGATGCCAGCTGTAAGTTACAGAGTACTTATGGTGGGTGGTCATCATGCAAAGCATGTTGCAGCCGGTACCTCATCTGTCATAACCACGCAATGAAACAGGTACTATTCTTATTCTGTCTTTACAAATGAAGAAACCAAAGGTAATGAGAAGGCAAGTCACTTGCCCACAACCATGCAGCAGGGGTGGAGGAGTCTAGGTATGAACCTGGGCATTTTGACTCCATTTTCTACTCTTTTGCTGAAGTGGTGGTTACTTCAACAAGAGTTTTTCTGAAGTCCCTTTGGAGGTGAGCTATACTTCTGTGTCTCCCAAAGAAATGTTTCAGGTTCCAAGCTTCTGATGTTATGTCAGGGTTCTTAAATCTTCTTAACTCTCAGCCTTCCCTGGATTTAGATTTTTGCTTTGCTGTTCAGGAGATTCCCTCTTAGACCTGGGTTGTACTACATTTTCTGAAAGCAAAATGACTCAGTGGGGCTGGTGAAGGAACCAGAAGAAGGTCCAATCACATACTATGACCTGATTTCCTCTTGGTAAAGTGGCTGTGAGTCCTCCATATTGACCTCAAACAAGAGGATTCCATGTAGCTCTATCACCTTTAATCTTAAAAATGTCATCCTCCTTCACAAAAAATTTATCTCTATGCACAACACATAATAGGTGCTCCCCAAAATGTGTGCAGAATACATATTTTGTTGAATGTAAAGGAGCTCCCTGAGACCCTGTGGACCAAGAAATGGATACCCCCAGGTCTCTCTGCACACTGACGTCACCCAGGCCAGGCTATGCAATTCAGGGACTCTCTGCATGGAATACATCTGTTTTCTATCCTCATCTCCTCACGGGGTGGGGGAATTTCTAGGCATTCAGGCAATCAAGCACAGGCTTCTAGGCAATGACAATGAAAACCATGGACTGCCCTACACTAACATGTCTTCTGGGAACAACATGGCAGCCATGCCTGAAATGCTTAATTCAGCATAAAAATACTACTACCCCAGCAGATGTGGAGATGGGAGCAGCAAGTGGATGGACGTCTTCCAATACTTCTGGGAAGGCCTTTTTACGACAGTGAATCTTAAGATATGAAAGAAAATAAAATCATGTCTATTTCATGCATTTGAGCCAAACTTAAATAAAGATGTTAAATGTAAAATTATTTATAAAATTTCAAAGAACACAGTATGCATTTTTTTTAAAAGGACAGGGTCCTAACACTTATAAGGGAGTCACATGACTGCAAGGAGAAGCCTCAGCTTGAATGGTATATTAATATGTTAATTCTGGGCAACTGGCAAGAAATGAGAAGTTGTGCACACCCAGGATCCTGCCTTACAGAGTAAAGACTGCAAACATTCCCCTGAGAGAGTAGGAGAGAGAGATGGGCAGGAAACCAATCTATACTCTTGGAGAAGCACAAAAGACTGTGACATCTGAGATACTATTTATGGTTGGGGCTGAGGTGAGTGGTGGTGACTGATGGCCATAGACACAACTGTAGTTGGTCATCACCAAAGGTGGATATGAAACAAACAATGGGAAAATGAGTAAAGAAAAACAAATCAAGACTTTGTACACCTTTTTTCTATTTACTTAGATAATGTGATTTAGTGACGAGGCTGAATAACTGAACTGCAGACTGCTAAACTTTCTAGCATCTAGGAAATTATCACTGGAAGCAACTGAGTGGCAAAGACTGAGCTTCCTAGAAAGACCACATTCACTAGGCAAGGTCTTTGAAAGCTGTATCTAATATCCTTCATTTTTAGATACTCTTTAAAATATGAAAGGAAAGCTATAACTACACTATAGAATATAACAGAGGCCATGAATGATGGCTCTTATTTTGTAAATAAAGTTTTATTGAAACATAGCCACACCCATTGTATCCATGGCTACAATGGTAGACTTGAGTAGTTAAAACAGAGATTGTGTGGTTCACAGAGCCTAAAATATTGACTCTCTGGTCCTTTACAGATGATCCTTGATTTGAATATAGCTAGTAAGGCTGGAATATATAAAGAATTTAATGCTGCCCTGGCCGGTTTGGCTCAGCGGTTAGAGCATCGGCCTGCGGTCCCGAGAGACCCGGGTTCGGTTCCCGCTAAGGGCATGTACCTTGGTTGCAGTTTGTCCCTGGCCCTGGTCGGTCGTGCGGGTGGCAGCCACTCGATGTGTCCCTTTCACATCGATGTTTCTCTCTCTCTCTCTTCCTCTCTCTCCCTCCCACTCTACTTGAACAATAAATGTCCTCGGGTGAGGATAAAAAAAAAAAAAAAGAATTTAACGCAATTACTCAAGTCAGCCTACAAAATAGGAAATTGTTTCCTCTTATTACATGTTCTCTGAAGAGAAATATCACTGGGCTGGCTAAGAATCAAAATTCTCTCTGGCATTGTCGTCTGCTATTTACTCAGCCACTAGTCAGCAAAATTATGGTCAAAACCAAGATTAAACTACAGATAATGGTCCCTAAAATGAGTTAGTGTCCTTCTACTCCTATAACATAAGCTGAGAGGATGGAGGAAGAATAAGGGTTCAAAGTAGAACATTATTAAGTGAATAAATAAATAAACAAATGAAGGAACAACTAGGTACAATTGTGAGCTGGCACTGTGGCCTCCCTCTCTTCAAAGCCAGTGTGTACCACCTTCTTCCTCGGTCCCACAGCCATCCTGTTCCTGGCCAACCATTTCATGTGGATGTACATCTGGTCCCAAGGAGAAAAAAGCTCTCAGATACATCAAGACTAGTAAGTCATGTTGTTTAGATTACTCACTCTAAATCGACCTGTACTTCCAAAGAGCAGAGAAATAGAAATTTTAGCGTTATAATTTGAATTCAAGATTTCCACTCTATTTCAAGGTAGGCAAATACAAATGTCCAGAAGTGGGTCAGAATTCTTTGTCTAATGAAATAGCAAGACCAAGTCTTGAAAAGTATGCGAATGGCAACGATAATATAAAAAGTAGGAGATACAGCAAATGGCTCATTGAAATCTTCTCCACACTTAAATTAGTTAAAAAAATAAAATAAAAGCAAGCTGTATCATACGTCCAGCACCATCTGGCCGGTCACGCTTTTCTCTACAGCCTATCCCCCAGACACCCTCTTTTCAAATGTCCTCCTTGGCAGATTCTTATAGGGAAAAACTGCATCTAAAACATTCTCTGTACCATATTCATATAATTGAGATAGAGAACATCAATAAAAATCTTAAAATCAAATAATTCATAGATCACCAGAAATAGTGTAACATGTTAAATATGTCACTCTGGGTTTTAAACATACAGTTCATATATTCTAGAGGAGTGATTTTCTTCCTAGACAAAAAAAGAAGAGAAGTCCCAAAAGTGCACACATTTTGAAAAACAAAAACAACAACAAAAAATAAAAATAATACCTAACAACCCAAGAAATTATATCTATTTGATTAAAAGCTTTAAATGGATGTGTTAAGTTTTTAATCAAGTCAACATTTTCAATTCATTTCTTACTTTGACTATGTCCTATAATTTCTGATTTAATACATTTTTCTTCCTATGTGGTTAGGAACTTAATTTGATGCCTGTAATTCTGGAATTTATTTCAGCAATGATTCATAGGAGCTTAACTAGCCTGACTGTAATTGCTTCAGAAGCTTCCAATTTCCTACATGTAATAAAAATAATTTTTATCACCGATACTTAGATTTTTTTCACGCAATAGAGCAATTGATTCAATTGTTTTTCTACCTTGTGATTCTGTACTCCTAGCAATTGCAGATGCATTGGTTTCCACAAATGAATTGTCATCAAGTAATACTCCACAGAAATAAATAGAAACATAACTCTCCATTCTGTATTATTAAGTCTCATAATCTATTTCCTTTGATTCTAATTTGTTTCCTCCACTTATTCCATTTCAGTGAATCTGCTTACTCAATTCTCACATTTTGATTTAATTTAATGCTTCCAATTTTAAAACTGCTATTTGTAATAATTTGGCATTTCTTACATCTGTCTGAGAAAACCTGTTTGCTTTCAACAATAAAGATACATTTAAAAAAAAATTCCTGAGTAACTACCAAATAGTTCTTGTGAATTTTGATCATTCAGTAGTGTTTTGTGACAAAATCTATGAGACTATTTCAAAAACACATTTGCTTTCCTTTTTAAAGAACTTGGATTATGTTTTTTTTAAAATAGGAACAAAGTCAATCTTAAAGAAACAGCTCTCTTTGTCCTGCCAAAACACCCAGGAAGTGACACTAACCAGAAAAGTTGAAGTTGATTTATAAAGCTAAATTTAATTTATATTCTTAATAAACACTGTACTAATTACCCAAAGCCATTAATTTAGAAGCTACTGGGTAATAGCCACTGGGCAATAATACCTCAAATTAAGAGACAGATATCACTTCTATTGCTAACTATTAAAAACAAAGGAAGGAATAGAGCAGAAGATTATATGTGCATAAAAAATTGTGGGAAGTGACAAAATATATAGGATTAAATTTGGTAAAGTAAATCACTGTTGAGAAGTTTAAAGGAAAGAAAGAAAAAAGAACAGCTCTATCAGCTCAAGAATTATATAATACATTCTCTAATTATGTCAAATTTTAAATGTTAATTTCAATGAGGTTAAACATTTATTTTATACATTGAAAATGAAATCTGAAGGAATACTGGTGTGACAAACTTGCACAAATGTGTGATTATCGTTTTGTATCTGTGTGAGTTTTGACTTGTGCAGTTATGAACTTATTCATCTAAACGAAGATTAGGAGAGAAGCCACCCTCCAGAGCAACATTTATGGTAGGTGGGTCACATAGAGATCACAGCCCCAGGCTTATATTCTTACTGCAGCATGTACCATATATGTGACCAAGGCTTGTGTTAACATGGCATTTTTACATTCCTTAACAAATAGCTAGTGTTTACCAATTTTGGTAATTTTTAAAGTTCCTCCAGGAATTATCTTTTGCTTCTAATTTTATCACTAAAAGCATAGCTTACGAGATTTCATACACAGATTGTCAATGGATGTAGCAGCAACCTGTGGGTTTGGTGTTAAATAATATTTAATTGACATAAAATAATAGCGGTCTGTAAGACTAAATGATGATGAGCTCCACAATTGTGTAGTAAGGATTTCATATTGGTTCCGTGCCCCTTGCTTGCTTTGGGAGAGAAAAACGAAAGGTATGTTTTTGCGGAGACCAAAATGGTTTTGTCTGCCACTGGCAGACACCCTATTAATAAAAAGTGTGTGCTAAACAGAGTCATCTGCTTTAGGAAAAACCTGCTATCCACTGGGACAGACTTCCTCACAACAATTGTTATATTACTTATTACATCTCCAAATTTTGTTTCCGATCATCATGGATATGAATCTTTAAACTGTTATCTTAGTTCCTCAGCCTCATAAATTCTCTTATTGCTATTTGCTCATTTATGTACATTTAAAAAATACACAAACAAGAAAAGGCAGGGTTTCTGGGGGCTTTTGACTGTTGTTTGTTTTTTTGGGGAGGGCAGTTGGTTTGATGCAAGGATTGAACTAAACGACCAATTTGAAAGTTGAAGTGCTATGTACTTAATGCCACTGAATTATTCACTTAAGATGGTTCAAATGTCCATTTTTATGTATGAATATTTCACAATATTTTGAAAATAATAAATTTTAAACATGAAATTTTTCTGTTTAGGATAGATACAATATTATTGAAGTATTGAGCACAGAAGAAATCCCATGTGAAAACAAGCAGCCTCAACCCTGGCGGCATGCTGTTAAGCTGAAAACCTGAAATTGTCGTTTTTGTCATGTAAAATGGTTGACAATTTCACAGTTCAAGCTACATATTCCTAAGTAAATTCCATCCTGGAGAATTACTACTGTTTAGTGACTGGCAGTGGACCACAGGGCCCTGAGAAATACCCTCGCACGATGGCTTTTGCTATCGGAGCCACTGCGGTTACAGAATCCAGTCCTGGGCCTCTCTGGTAGTCCATAACTTTGGGGCAGGGAGATAAATGACCATGCAGTGAGATGCCCTTAACCTAACAGCAGTTGAACTGATTCTGTGGGTATCAAATTTGTAATCAGTCATTAACTAGGAAAAGATTAATTTTAGCTTCTATTTTCTGCCACTTTCTTACCACAAAAACACTGCCCCCCCCCAAAAAAAAAAACTATTCTATATGCCAAAATCATTATATGTTCTAAGATTCCCTTTCAGAAACAGGACTGTTATTGATTTCCTCCCCCAAATCTCCAAGTCATAAACAGCAGAAGACCACCCCCTTCCATCATCACTAGACAACAGAGCTGACAGACCCTCTCTCAAGCTCCAACTTAAATGGCTATTACATGTCATAGCCAGGGCCTGATACACAGAAATAGCAATCATATTCAATAAGAAAATGAGAGAATGTCTAAATCATTACAGCATGAGTAGAACCAAAGCATATTTAATATGCATGCCCCTCCAGTTCTTCCTCAGCATGATCAGCAAAACAATGCATATGTCTCTGGACTATAGCATGCAGAACATAGAACCTAACTTATGACATTCCGTTAATGGAAAAAAAAAAAAGACAGTTTCCCTCAGTCCAGCTCCTCAAGGTGACAAGCTGCTGACACCCTTCTGTGAAATACCACGTTCGGTAGGAAGATTTGGAACAGGACTGCGTTGCAGAAAGGCTGCTCTATTAATTTAACAGCAGCAAAAAAACCACCCAAAAGCAAGACCGTGTCATAGGGATTACTTCTGAGCTTTTTTACAAGCGACACAAAACCGGGCTACCCCCTTTTAAGCACCCCCAGTGAAAAGCTTTAAACAGGCTATTGTCAGCTCTGGGTACCTTTTCTCTCTTGGCTTTGTTCAGTATTTTCCTCGGCTGCAGTTTCCATGGCTGGCTTCATACCATCCACCAAAAATGCTTTTCCCCACTCCCCCCAACACACACTTTCCCCTCCTCTTCCTCTTTGGACTCCCCTCCGTCTCTTATTTACACTTGCGTGATTGAGAGGTTCTGTTCTTCACTACAGTAGATTAGTCCTTTCCAAGATGCAAAAGTCTCAGCGTCAATTTCCCTCTGCCTACTGGTCCATAAAGACAGCTGCCAAGGAGCAGGCAGCCATACGTCACCGAGGATCCCAGTTATAAAACAGCCATTCTGTGCCCGATTGTGCCTCCAATCTCAATGCGGCTCAGAGGGGGGAAGGACCGCTCCCCACTGGGCCCCTTCCTCCCTGCTCTCCTACACACGCAGCGCCCTTCTTTCTCCTTGCCAACTGTGCCCAATGAATGCTAATTAATTCTCCCAGGAGAGAAGAGATTCGTGACATCAGAGGAGGGCATGTGGAGAAGAAAAGAGCCCCCTCCTACCACGTGACTCAGCTGGCTGGCCATGAAGTATGTTCTCTCAGGAGAATGCATGTCTTCCAGAAGCAAACACTTTCTTTTCCGTGGGACTCCTATATGGGCCATCACAATTGGTTTTATGTCATTTACCCCCGACCCTGGCAGAATATAGTCAAGGGACTTGCCCACGGTCTCTATTTTATTTGCTTTCTTTCAAATTTGTCTTTCACCCAATCTCTAAGTAGATAGATAGATTTAATGTGTGTGTGTGTGTGTGTGTGTGTGTGTATGAAAAATACATGAGGGAAAACAACCCAAACATAAGTATAACAATAGCAGTGTAGCAATTTCATATTAGAACCCCTTTCCTGGTGTCTAGCTAACATATGTGATAGAAAGAAAACCTCTAGCTCAAGCCCAATTAATAAAGGGACATCTGTCCTTATTTTAAAATAATCATAATATGCTACAAATATATCTAGCTGATATTTTGGTGGCTTCTTGGAATGAAAATCAGAATAGAGTGTTCTTTCTTATTGGACGTGGTTATTTCTCTATAGAGCTTTCTTCACTAGAACCCCAGGCTCAAAGTGAAAACGGTAGTTTCAAGAGCATTCCAAAGGCTCAGCATAAAAGCTATTGTACCAATAATGATTTTGATTGCTGGTTTCACCAGCTTTCTTGCATACCCAGATACCAGTGGACCAGCGTTCTCAACGTTCTCATCCAAGCATATAAGACTTATTGTGGTTAAGCCATGTGTTTACAAGCATCACTAATTTCTGCACCATGTTTTAAGCATTTGGTTGACCCATTTAACTTCATTTTCTCTATCAAAAAAGTTTGTGGAAACTCAAATCAAATATAGGGATGAATACTTATAACCACAGGGCAAAGCGTTCCCTGACCAAGAACAGTGTCTGGCAGTTGGTTGGGTTGAGCTCTCATCTTAAAAGCATACATAAAGACAAGTTAGATCCCTGGCCAGTTTGGCTCAGAGGGTCAGGGGCACATATCTGGGTTGCAGGTTTAATCCCTGGTGACCAAACGGGAGGTGACCAATCAATGTGTCTCTAACGTTCTCTCTCTCTCTCTCTCCCCCTCCCTCCTTCTGTTCCACTCTATCTAAAAATCAATGAAAAATATCCTAGAGTGAGGATTAACAAAACAAAAAGACAAATTAGAAACAACTCTCTCCAAAAATATCTCTCCCAAGTTTTAAGGGTTTCTTGCTCAACTCTTAAAAAAAAAAATCCATAAGATCCTGAATTAAAGTCCTTTAACAACCTAACCTTTTAACACATTAGGTCTAGATAATCCTCAAAGCCTTCCACATTCAATACCTAAGGCTTTGTTAAACCAAAAAAGATTTTGAAAACCAGTTTAGCCTGTTCCAACATTAAAAAAATTTACATCTCATTTTTCACTTTAACCATTTTCCTAGAAGACCACACCCACAATCAGCTATTTTTTAAAACCATGGCCCCAGACAATTTTATTGTCTCATGGTGAGGGGATTGACAAGCATGGCAGTCTAAAATTTCAGACTTTCAAAAGGAGAGTCTTTGTGTAAATATACCACAGCTTTTTTATCCACTCATCTGCTGATGAGCACTTGGGTTGCTTCTAAATCTTGGCTATTGTAAACAATGCTGCAATGAACATAGGAGTGAACACAATACAATATAGAGATGATGTATTACAGAATTGTATACCTGAAACCTATACAATATAATTTTATTAAGCAATGTCACCCCAGTAAATTCAATAAAACTTTTTTTAAAAGATGAAAAAAATACAAAAAACAAACAAACAAACAAACAAAATCAGATTTATTTGGGATGAACTACCTCCACAGGAAAACCTGATGATGATGATGTGTCCAAATGGGATGGTCTTAGACATTTTTGCAAAGACTACTTAGGTGCATTCAGACAGAAAGATAATAATTATCAGTTTGTGACAGGTTTGTTCTCCCTCGGCAGTTCAAGTGAGAATTAAAACCAAAACAAAATTCAATTCAGCACAAAAGGGGACAATTGTGATTAGCTATCTTATTGGTTTTTATTTTAAAAGTATCTAGCTAAATCATTCAATTATAGAAGTGCAGAATAGAATAATTTTTTGGCTATGACTTAAGAATATTAATTTTAAATATTGGTAAAAGTGGGAAGGCAGAATATAGAAGATATTCCAAATTTAAGGACAACTCCAGTTCTCTAGCACAGTCATGGAAATCAAAACCATGGGACAAAATATTCACAAATTCTCTAGTTGATACCTTTGTCTACTTTCACCCTGAAAAACTCCATGTATCATTTAATGTACCATGTATAACTAAATATATCATTTTTGCCTTATTCACAACTTCATCATTTTCTTTTCATTAGGCCAATATCATATGACAATTCTAAAAGTTACCATTGTAACTTTATAACAGCCTCAAAAACCTCCTGGGTGTTTATGATAAACCATCTGAATCAGAAAAAAAGATAATAGAGAGATTGTTATTAGCACGAAAGAAGAGTAGGTGTTTATAATGTTTCTTAGGTATGCATCCACTTTTGGCTAAAAAAAAAATAGATACATAAAATGAGTAAGGATGGGAAATGTCTTGCAGAACTGAAAATTATTTATTGAGCCCATGTGTTAAGGTAATCTGACTGAAGATAAGAATACTTCTAAAAGCCAAAACAGGAATAACAAATATTGAGACAGAATAGATGTATTAGATGAAACCATACAAAATTGCTAATATTAAGAAGAACAGTAGTTTCATATGGTTCAACTTATATATTTACATGTCTTCTGTAGAATTCCAGCCTATTCAGTGAACATGCACGAATAATCTTTCAAGTACTAATAACCTTCCAAGTATTAATATCTACGATAAGCACAGACATGCACAAGAGATAGTGCTTATCTTCATGTAACACATAGACTAAAGAAACCCTCCTAAACTGGGGCGATTTTACCTGGTAGAAGCACTGTGGTATCACAACAAAGAAGATGAGAGGAGGGGAGAGAGAATTTGGAAAACCTTCTCAGAGTTGAGTTGGCTATTGCAGTTGGGTAGAAACCTGCTAGGTAGGAAAAGGTTGGAAAAGGAAAGGTAAGGAAGGGCAGGGAAGAACAGGATCGATAAGAGTAGGTAGGATACAGAAGGAATATGTAGGGAAGGGAAAAAGTGTTCCAGGAAACACTGAAAACATGCAACATGAAAAAAGGTATTGTCAAAGTGTTGGGGAGATGATTCTTTTGACAGAAGGTCCAGAGCATAGGATGTGTGGTGGGGCTGGTGGGTAGTGGAAGGAAAATAGAAGGAGATGGCTGAACCAGTAGGCTGAACACTTTGCTAATCCGGAAGGCAATGGGTGGAGATGGAAGACTTAAAAACAGATCTGATCTGTGCTTTAGAAAGTTTATTCCATTGGTCATATGAAAGAGAGTGGGACAGGGCCAGACTAGAGGCTGGCAAGCTATTAATAGTCTCTTGAAATAGTATAAGCAACAGACACTGAGGGCCTGAACTATGGCATGAAGAGGAAGTGTGGATCTGGATGATATCTGATTGGATACCTATGCATGGGGGTGGAAAGGAAGAAGGATGTGAAGGGGAGTCTGGAGTTTCTAGCTTGGGTGAGCGATGAGGTGGTCATGCTGTGGACCAAAATGGGGAACCAAAGAGGAGGCAGAAGTTTGGTAGAGGAGATGAGCATGTATGGTTTCTGGTGCCCTAGGACATCCCATAGGAGCTGTCCAGGAGGCATCCAGGAATGTGGCTCCAGAGGAGAGAAGCTGCCTGGAGATGAGGATCTGGGAGTCGTTGGTGCAGAGGAAGCCTTGGGAGTACAAGACGTCCAGCTCTGCCAAAATGTCACCTTCTCAGGGGATCCTCCCTGACTTTATTGTCTAAAATAGTAGCTCCCAAGTGCCCAGTCCCATTTCTTGGGTTTGATTTTCACTCTTGCTTTAACAATGACCCAACACCGATCTCTCTATTCTTCTATTTATTGTTTCTCATCTCCACAAGAATATGAACCCTTTAAGGGCAGACTTTTTTGTCTGTTTTGTTCTGTACTGTATTACCAATTCCTAGAACAGTCCTTGGTACATAATAGGTCCTCAACAATATGTTTTAAATAAATGGTGAACAATGACCAAGGAGAGATACAAATTACAAATATGCTAATATTAGAATTTGAGGAACATTGACTTTAAATATAAAGGTAATGGAAAACCTTTAAAGGGAGGGTAAAAAAAAAAAAAAAAGTTAAGAAGGAAAAATTAGAAAAGCAGAGGAACAAGACCAAAGTGGGATTATTGAATTAGAAAAAGATTCTATGAAGGGCATAAGGTTTACAGTGTCAAACAGTGTCAAATACTGTAGAAGGAGAAACAAGGAGGAGGAATGACAAGCAGAAAGTAACTTTTACCACCAAATAGTTGTTGGAATTTCCATAAGAGTTTTGGTTGAATGATGGGGACAGGAGCAAGACTCCCAAGTCTTTTTCACAATCCTTACTCTCAAAATTGGATGGTAC